TATTTGACAGAGAGAGAGAGACAGAGACAGCGAGAGAGGGAACACAAGCAGGGGGAGAGGGAGAGGGAGAAGCAGGCTTCCCACAGAGCAGGGAGCCCGATGTGGGGCTCGATCCCAGGACCCCGGGATCATGACCTGAGCCGAAGGCAGACGCTTAACGACTGAGCCACCCAGGCTCCCCAGAAAGGTTTTTAAATGCATACATGGACGACTCAGTAAATAAATAAATTTTCAATCTGGCAAACTCCTACTCACACTTCAAAACCCACCCCAAAAGTCCCCTCAAGGCCCATAAGGTTCAGAATGGCCATCTGGGGCCCTGGGGAGGGCGAAGTCAATGTGGCATTCCCATATGGCTGTCTTGTCCCACCCTTATCCAGCTTTGACCTGGACCCGCGGAGCCGCTACACATTCTGGACTTTTCTGGTGGGTGGCACATTGGTCTGGCTCTCAATGTATGGCGTGAACCAAGCACAGGTGCAGCGCTATGTGGCCTGTCGCACAGAGAAGCAGGCCAAGCTGTGAGTGTTTAGGAGGGGCAGGGTGGGGGCCTCTGGGACCAGCTGCCCCCCTCCCCAGCCTGAGGCTGCCCCTCCCCCTAGGGCCTTGCTCATCAACCAGCTGGGCCTGTTCCTGATCGTGCTCAGCGCTGCTGGCTGTGGCATCATCATGTTCACGATCTATGTAGACTGTGACCCTCTCCTTGCAGGGCGTATCTCCGCCCCGGACCAGGTAAGTCTGGCCCAGGCTCCTAGGCCACTCCTGCCCTCCCCACCCCCATTCTGAACTCCTGCATGGATGAATCTCTGGGAGCAAGGATGGAACAGCATTCCTAGAAGAGAGAACAGCCTGCTCAGAGGTCCAGGGGCAGGCAAGAGCTTGGCACAGAGGAGGATCTGGAAGGAGCAGGGAAGACAAGGCTGGGAGGCAATGGGGAGCCTTAGGGGAAGTGGGCGAGCAGGGGAGGGGCACATTCAGATTTAGAGTCAGAAACTCCCTGAGGGATATTTTTTTAAAAGATTTTATTTATTTGAGAGAGAGAGAGCATGAGAGGGGGGAGGGTCAGAGGGAGAAGCAGACTTGAGCCCGATATGGGACTTGATCCTGGGACTCCAGGATCATGACCTGAGCCGAAGGCAGTCGCTCAACCAACTGAGCCACCCAGGGGCCCTCCCTGAGGGATATTTTTTTTTTTAAGATTTTATTTATTTTTTAGAGAGCGAGCGAGAGAGAAACAGCATGAGAGGGGAGAGGGTCAGAGGGAGAAGCAGGCTCCCCACTGAGCTGAGAGCCCGATGTGGGACTCGATCCCAGGACCCTGGGATCATGACCT